TATGCCGACGGCCTAGGGGCCTATGCCGACGGCCCTTGGCCGTAGGCATAGACCGCGAGTCCGGTAGTGGTGCTTCGGCTGAACTGATCTCGTAAAAACCATCTTAGGCCAAATGGGGAGCCAACTCATCAGTAGTTGACTTTATATAACAGGGTCATAGCACAAACCACCCTCAAAACAAAAACAAAATTGCAATTGGGTCCCCCTCCCCCCCCACTAGTCGCACTCCCCTCCACGGCCATGGACCCGGCCCCCGGCCCATCCGCCGTCGGCGAAACCCTCGCCAGCGAGGCCCTTCCCGCGCTCTTCCTCCATGCCGCCGACCTGCCCGTGGCTTCGCCGTTGGCCACGAGATCGTCGAGGAGTTGGATGAGGGGTACGTGGTGGCCGTCTCAAGAGGCAGGAGCGGCACGGTCGCGTCCAGGAGAAGGGAGGAGTTCGAGGGGCTTGAGGAGGAAGAGGACGCCTATGGTGACGCCGGCACTCCCAGCCACAGCAGCAACAACTATGTCAGCGAGCGGGGCAGCAACTTCTTCTCCAGTGCCGGCGGCATCGAGGAGTCTGACCCCGGCCCGCCCCTCGTTCCCGACGCCGAGGACTGGATGCCTAGCAAGAAGCACGACGACTAGGTCAGCCCTGTTCACTTCTCTTGCCAGCGGCGGTTGGAATGACCGGAATCGACCTAGAATCATGGTGGCGGTGGCTAGGATTGAAGGCGCGGAGCTAAAAGTTTCCTCCCGCCAACCGGTTTTCTCGTTTCCTGGTCACTTTAAAAATTGCCTCCAAAACTGGATATGTAGAGTATGCACGCTATTTTTAGGGAGAGCTGCATAGCTTTTTTTGGGAAGACACCGTTTTGCGGGATCTGGGATGGACTTTTTTTCATCCAAAACTATAACACGGCTGTTATTTTACAGTTTCAATCCTTTTTCTGGATCAGCTAGAGACACGTAATCCATTATTTGGTATGTCGTCACCTGCCCCTCACTTAGGGAGAGCTGCATAACTAAATGCGTTAATCAAATATGCATAAATACTAAATGGTATGTCTTATCCACACTTATCAAACTAATTGAGCGTTCCAAACAACCGAGAGCACTTATCAAATGAAACATAAATGATAAATGGTACGTCCTCCCAGCATTCACCAAAACAATTGAACAAATTTACCAAATGAACATAAATAATAAATGGTATGCCCTCCCCCACGCTTTCCCAAACAATTGAGCATTCCATACTAGATCAGGCGCATACCAAATCGATATCAAAGAAAAAACAAGCTCCATACAACAACATACACATACCAAACTACTCCCTCCACCTACACGCATGGGCATATCTCATGTTTTTGGAAGGCCCTAAATGTTATCCCAATGTAATTATTTTCATTGTCCAAAAAACTTATTGTGGTTACCGTCCTTTCCTTTTGTCAGATTTTTATTAAAGTGTTTATCTTAATATCACATCATGAGGACAGATTATGATTGCACCCTAATGATATTGGTGAAATTTAATCAAATGATCATCAAGTAGAAATGCGTTACAAAACATGGCATGTTCTTACACGATGACGTAAATCTAACCGTACAACGAGTTGTGGCAATGCACGTGCATTGAGCTAGTGTTAGTAATTATAAGGGGGTGTGGATCTCACAACTGCAGCATGTAAACTTTTTTCTCTATTGCAATCACTGCCAAAAGAAATATTCACCCCTTCTTATTTGATCACAAATTGTCCATGTTTTTTTTCCAGAAAGACTACCTTTTGTCCTCCTACGGTGTGAATTGTTCAACGGTACTTTTGCATTTCTTTTTTCACTACGTCTCGGGTCATGCCTCGAGGCTTGTTATATATTGTAAAATATTCAAAGTAGCAAGTATTTCAATTGAAACATAGTCCTCAGTAATCTCATTTATTTCATTTGATAATCAATTGAACAAACTATGCTTATGTTGGTATTAAGATGACATGATCGTGTGTATCATGGTGGTACCAGCCTGTCGCAGATAGGTGTTTATTATTCATGATGGCGCGCATTTGGCTCACTTCAATGCTTGTTGTCGTCGCTAGATAGTCTACAGACCTGGATGTAATTTTTGTTACTTTTGGTGTTCTTTGTACCATCTGATAGTTGATGAATAGGTTGAAAGTTAAAAATAAAACATAACGAGGATTTCAAATGCACCATAGTCTTGGGTGAACTCCTTTATTTCATTTGAAAATCAATTGAACATACCATATGCTTGTGTGTGTATTAAGATGACATGATCGTGTGTATCATGGTGGTAGCAGCCTGTTGTCGCAGATAGGTGTTAATTATTCGTCAGCTAACTCTAGGATGTCGGGTTAAGACACTAGCTTAGAGCTGAGCCGTCGGGCATGGTGCTTAAGTGGCGATGCCAGTGACCATGGAGATTCCTGAAGCGCGGCCAAAACGGGCGACCTTGCAGTCGGTGGAGAAGATATCGGAGGTGACGTAGCTAGCTGTGCCGCCCATAATTGGCATGTTGGCGCTCACGCTGAGCTTGTTCACATAGTCGGCGCGGTAGGTCTGGCCGAGCACGCCTTGGACGTCGTCGGTGAGGCCGTGGAACTTGAACCCGATGTCGAAGTGAGCGAGGCTGTCGTCTTCAGTCACACCGTAGTTGTGGATGCGGGAGTCCTTCTGTGTGATGGGCACCACGTTGGCCAAGATGTCGAAAACTCCCTTGAGCTGGACCCTGATGCCGTTGGCCGCGGCATTCCTTGTGATGGTCAGCCCAGGCACGGTGGTGGACTGCCACTTGGCGTCGATGGCGGTGGGGATTTCAATGGGCATGTCATCGAAGGCCAGCTCGAGGCGGTCGACATTGCTGTCCCACTTGACGGTCTTCTGGGCACCCATGTAGAGGCGATGGTCGGCGAAGCGGATGCCGAGGGCCTGGATCCAGGTGAAGTCGCGGCTCATGGCGGGGTTGCGCTTGCCGATGAAGTGGGCGTTGATGTGGAGATCGGCGTCGGAGACCACACAGAAGCTCTGGTCCTTTTTGCCGTGGAAGTAGAAGTTGTTGCCGTCGGCGCCCGTGAAGCGCGGGTCCCCGCAGGACACGCCGGGGTAGAAGTCGCAGACTTGTAAAGGAGGTTAAATAATTAATATCAGCATCTCAATCAATTAATATCGGCGAAGCCAGTGTGGATATATGCTTGCTTACTGCAGTATGTCTTGCAGCCTGGGCACATGACGACGCACTCGTTGGGGCAGCGCCTGTCGCAGGTGGCGACGCAGGGGCTGTTGCCGTCGGTGGTGTCGTCGCAGGAGAGCACCTGTTCCCTCCTCCCGAACTGCTTCGGGTGGATCACGCGGGAGTTCTTGGGCAGCCCCTTCTTCCCCTGGGCGGCGGCCGGCACGGCGGTGGCGCACAGGAACACCAGCACAGCGACCACACCCATGGTCAGTGCCCTCGCCATCGCGCTACCACGTGCGCAAACAGAGCTAGCCGACTAAAGTGTGTGCGTGCGTGGCTGCTATAGCTAGCTATGCTAGCCCTGTGTGTTGATGAGATTGCTGGATGTGTTGCATTCATGGGGTTTTATAGGGGAGGGGGGTCGATGGTGTTGCGGAGGAGTGGCGGTGAAGCGAGAGTGCGTCGTGCAGTACCGGCTGCGCAGGAGACGGCCGGCCGGCGGGCGTGGTGAGGAAGGAAGCTGCTTATAGGCTCCGGCGCGCCGCTCCACGCCGCCTTGCATGCATGTATGCAGGGAACAAAATGATATCATGTGCTTGAGGCACCGTTTCCATTGTACCCGCCCCCCTGTATGTGGCTGCAGGGCGTCTGTGTTGGGGACGACGGCGACAGATCCTGACCGGCCGGCACGGGTACGTAAAGCGGGCGGCATGCGTGCATGTACAGCACCGTGTGTGGTGTCCATGCACAGCGGGCTTGGGCTAGGTAGTACGTCTTGCTTTGAGTACATGACACGCCACGTCCGAGAACAACACCACCTTTATCCTGGTCTACTTCTTGGCAATTTCTATTGCGGATGCATACAACAGAAGAGCAGAATCTGGATGCAATTCTTAAGGTAGCAGGAACCTGGACAGTTGACCATCGGATCGAGGCCAGCTTGCTAGAGTCTGATTAGGATGATCGGTCAAAAGGTATAGTGTATACACATCATGCACCTTTCCCAAACTCCTAATCCAAGAGTCTTAATCAACTTGGGCCTCGGGCGAAAGGGAAAGCCTATATGTACTAGCTATCTCTAATGCATATACATTAATAGAAAAAAGGACCTAATACGAAGCACATTAGTTCCGGTTTGTAGCTGAACCGGCATTAATGTGACCATTAGTGCTGGTTCCAACGGCTAGGCGGGTGGCGATCATTAGTACCGGTTCGTGACCTTTAGTACCGGTAGTAATGAGATGGTGGCAGGCTTGTGTCAGGCTTGTGTCATGAACCGGTAGTAATGAGATGGTGGCAGGCTTGTGTTAGGCTGGGGCCCCACCAGAACCTTTAGTACCGGTTTGTTATATGAACCGGGACTAGAGATGCACCTGTAGTCCCGGTTCGTATAACCAACCGGTACTAAAGGTCATCCTATATAAACCTCTTCATCGAGCCCGAGCGCTCTGTTCTTCCCCTTTCCCCTCTCCTCTGTTTTCTTCCTCTTCATCTCGAGCTCACACTCCATTTTTGCCAAAATTTGTGAAGATTTGAAGGCACCCCATCCATCCAAGTGATCACGAAGGTTAGCAACTTTGTCCTTTCATCTCTCATTGCTAGATTAGCTCTTGAAATGCTCTATAAGTATAGTGATTTGTGGGTTTTATTTTGGGAGGAATTATATGTGGTAGTATTTGATTTATATGCAATATGAGGTCAAAATAACTCTTAGTTTGCATATGTAGGTGTGGTTTACTTAGTGCCTTCCCGTCTCCGTCGTAACCACTGTCGATCGCCAGCACCGTCCCGTCGCCGGCACCATCTTATGGTGAGCCTCTTGTTCTTATCTTTTTATATAAAAAAAGTCATGTTTGTGTGATTTAGATATATAGTTACTCATATAATTATCTTACTAGTACGTTGTTTGTTATACATAGTGCCATGGTTTTGAGATCCGTCCCTGTCGGCCCTCGTCCGAGTTATGATTCAGATGTGGTACATTCTCTTTTATAACTATCTGTTGCATTTCATGTTTATGACAAATTATGCCCATCAAGTTGACATAGATATTTTTATATAGAAGCTATGTGAATCGGAAATTCCAACCGACCCTATTGTCGAGAGGTTAAATTTAGTTGAAAGAGAAAACAAGTATTTGAAAGAAAAATTGAAAAGAATTGAGGGGGAGAAGATGGAATTGGAGGTGCATGTTGCCGATGTCATCGATGATCACAAAATCAAGATGGAGAAAATGCGCTTGAAGATTAGAAAGATTAGAAAATATGTCATTGATAGTGAGGCTTGGTATCATTATGCTATTGGAACAATTGTCGATCTTGATCGCATTTGTTGTTGCATTTAAATGCTTTAGCTAGAGAGTTATTTGTATGTTTGTTTTATGAGAGTAAGTGTTGTATGAACTTTATGTACGAACTTGTATTAATTTGTTCTATTCGGTGCTATGTAATGAAGATGAGCCGACAATAGATGTACGATGACCGATGCTCTCCCCAGTTCGTTAATGGCGTGCAAACTTTTATGCTTGCGGTTGAGGCGAACAAGCGTGCAGATGGTTTTATGTCTTGTCCATGTGTTGGCTATAAGAATGATCGGAATTACTCTAAGTTAAAAACCATTCACTGGCACCTGTTTAAGTCTGGTTTCATGCCCCACTATAATGTTTGGACCAAGCACGGAGAAAGAGGGGTTATGATGGAAGACAATGAAGAAGAAGAGGACGATGACAGCTATCCTGGTCATGGATTTCCTGAATACAATGATACAACAATGGGGGAAGAAGCTGAGCTAGTAATGCGGGAAGAAGCTGAAGAAGAGGCATCAGATGAGCCCGCTGATGATCTAGGTCGGGCCATTGCCGATGCAAAGAGAAACTGCGCAAGTGAAAATGAGAATAAGAAGTTGCCGCGCATGTTAGAGGATCACAAGAAATTGTTGTACCCGAATTGCGAAGCTGACAAGAAAAAACTGGCACCACACTGGAGTTGCTGCAGTGGAAGGCAGCGAATGGTGTATCTGACAAGGGATTTGAAAAGTTGCTGGTAATGTTAAATAAGATGCTTCCAAAGGACAATGAATTGCCCAAGAGTACGTACGAAGCAAAGAAGACTGTGTGCCCTCTAGGGTTAGAGGTGCAGAAGATACATGCATGCCCTAATGACTGCATCCTCTACCGCGGTGAGTACAAGGATTTGAACGCGTGCCCGGTATGCGGTGCATTGCGCTATAAGATCAGCCGCGATGACCCTGGTGATGTCGAGGGCGAGCGCCCCAGGAAGAAGATTCCTGCCAAGGTGATGTGGTATGCTCCTATAATACCATGGTTGAAACATTTGTTCCTAAACAAAAAGCATGCCAAGGCGATGTGATGGCGCAGAGAAGACCATAAGAAAGACGGGAAGTTGAGAGTACCCGCTGATGGATCGCAATAGAGAAAAATTGAGAGAAAGTACAAGAAGGACTTTGCAGGTGACACAAGGAACGTATGGTAGAGAAAAAGTTCCAGAACCTAAAGTATCATGACTGCCACGTGATTATGACGCAACTGCTTCCAGTTGCATTGAGGGGGCTTCTACCGGAAAACGTTCGATTAGCCATTGTGAAGCTATGTGCATTCCTCAATGCAATCTCTCAGAAGGTAAATGATCCAGAAATCATACCAAGGTTAGAGAATGATTTGGTGCAATGTCTTGTCAGTTTCGAGCTGGTGTTCCCACCATCCTTCTTCAACATCATGACTGATACGTCTCCATCATATCTACTTTTCCAAACACTTTTGCCCTTGTTTTGGACTCTAACTTGCATGATTTGAATGGAACTAACCCGGACTGACACTGTTTTCAGCAGAATTGCCATGGTGTTATTTATGTGCAGAAACAAAAATTCTCAGAATGACCTGAAACTTCACAGAACGTCTATTCGGAAATAATAAAAATCCTTGCAAAAGATGAATACCAGGGGGCCCACCACCTATCCATGAGGGTGGGGGCGCGCCCTAGGGGGTAGGGCGCACCCCCCTACCTCATGGGCCCCCTGGAGCTCCTCCGACCTCAACTCCAACTCTATATATTTGGTTTCGGGGAGAAAAAAATTAGAGAGAAGGATTCATCACACTTTACGATACAGAGCCACCGCCAAGCCCTAAAACCTCTCGGGAGGGCTGATCTGGAGTCTGTTCGGGGCTCCGGAGAGGGGAATCCATCGCCATCATCATCATAAACCATCCTCCATCACCAATTTCATGATGCTCACCGCCGTGCGTGAGTAATTCCATCGTAGGCTTGCTGGACGGTGATGGGTTGGATGAGATTTATCATGTAATCGAGTTAGTTTTGTTAGGGTTTGATCCCTAGTATCCACTATGTTCTGAGATTGATGTTGCTGTGACTTTGCTATGCTTAATGCTTGTCACTAGGGCCCGAGTGCCATGATTTCAGATCGGAACCTATTATGTTTTCATCAATATATGAGAGTTCTTGATCCTATCTTGCAAGTCTATAGTCACCTATTATGTTTTATGATCCGTTAACCCCGACGTGACAATAATCGGGATATTCCCAGTGATGACCATAGTTTGAGGAGTTCATGTATTCACTATGTGTTAATGCTTTGGTCCGGTACTCTATTAGAAGGAGGCCTTAATATCCCTTAGTTTCCGTTAGGACCCCGTTGCCACGGGAGGGTAGGCCAAAAGATGCCATGCAAGTTATTTTCCATAAGCACGTATGACTATATTCGGAATACATGCCTACATTACATTGATGAATTGGAGCTAGTTCCGTGTCACCCTAGGTTATGACAGTTACATGATGAACCGCATCTGACATAATTCTCCATCACTGATCCATTGCCTACGATCTTTCCATATATTGTTGTTCTCTTATTTACTTTCCCGTTGCTATTGTTACAATCACTACAAAATACCAAAAACATTACTTTTGCTACCATTACCTTTTGCTACCGTTACCACTACTATCATATTACTTTGCTACTAAACACTTTGTTGTAGATATTAAGTTTCCAGGTGTGGTTGAATTGACAACTCAGCTGCTAATACTTGAGAATATTCTTTGGCTCCCCTTGTGTCGAATCAATAAATTTGGGTTGAATACTCTACCCTCGAAAACTGTTGCGATCCCCTATACTTGTGGGTTATCAAGACTATTTTCTGGCGCCGTTGCCGGGGAGCATAGCTCTATTCTTTGAGTCACTTGGGATTTATATCTTCTTATCATTATGAAGAACTTGAGAGATCCAAAAACTAAGATTTATCCCTCAACTACA